CATGAACAAGGTATACAGGTAGAGATGCTCCATGGCACATAAACAGAATGTACAGGTACAGATGCTCCATGGCACATGAACATGATATACAGGTACAGATGCTCCATGGCACATGAACAGGGTATACAGGTAGAGATGCTCCATGGCACATGAACAGGGTATACAGGTACAGATGCTCCATGGCACATGAAGTAGGTATGCAGGTAGAGATGCTCCATGGCACATGAACAGGATATACAGGTACAGATGCGCATTGACACATGAACAAGGTATACAGGTACAGATGCGCATTGACACATGAACAGGGTATACAGGTAGAGATGCTCCATGGCACATGAACAAGGCATACAGGTACATATGCTCCATGGCACATGAACAGGGCATACAGGTACAGATGCTCCATGGCACATGAACAGAATATACAGGTACAGATGCGCATTGACACGTGAACAGGGTATACAGGTAGAGATGCGCATTGACACATGAACAGGTTATACAGGTACAGATGCTCCATGGTACATGAACAGGATATACAGGTACAGATGGTCCATAGCACATGAACAGAGTATACAGGTAGAGATGCTCCATGGCACATGAACAGAATATACAGGTACAGATGGTCCATGGCACATGAACAGGGCATACAGGTAGAGATGCTCCATGACACATGAACAGGGCATACAGGTACAGATGCTCCATGGCACAGGAACAGAATATACAGGTACAGATGCTCCATGACATATGAACAGGGTATACAGGTACAGATGCTCCATGGCACATGAACAAGGTATACAGGTACAGATGCTCCATGGCACATGAACAAGGTATACAGGTACAGATGCGCATTGACACATGAACAGGGTATACAGGTACAGATGCGCATTGACACATGAACAGGGTATACAGGTACAGATGCGCATTGACACATGAACAGGGTACACAGGTACAGATGCTCCATGACACATGAACAGAGTATACAGGTAGAGATGCTCCATGGCACATGAACAGGGTATACAGGTACAGATGCTCCGTGGCACATGAACAAGGTATACAGGTACAGATGCTCCATGGCACATGAACAGGGTATACAGGTACAGATGCTCCATGGCACATGAACAAGGTATACAGGTACAGATGCGCATTGACACATGAACAGGGTATACAGGTACAGATGCGCATTGACACATGAACAGGTTATACAGGTACAGATGCGCATTGACACATGAACAGGGTATACAGGTAGAGATGCTCCATGGCACATGAACAAGGTATACAGGTAGAGATGCTCCATGGCACATGAACAAGGTATACAGGTAGAGATGCTCCATGGCACATGAACAGGGTATACAGGTACAGATGCGCATTGACACATGAACAGGGTATACAGGTAGAGATGCTCCATGGCACATGAACAAGGTATACAGGTAGAGATGCTCCATGGCACATGAACAGGGTATACAGGTACAGATGCGCATTGACACATGAACAAGGCATACAGGTACAGATGTTCCATGGCACAGGAACAGAATATACAGGTACAGATGCTCCATGACATATGAACAGGGTATACAGGTACAGATGCTCCATGGCACATGAACAAGGTATACAGGTACAGATGCTCCATGGCACATGAACAAGGTATACAGGTACAGATGCTCCATGGCACATGAACAAGGTATACAGGTACAGATGCGCATTGACACATGAACAGGGTATACAGGTACAGATGCGCATTGACACATGAACAGGGTATACAGGTACAGATGCGCATTGACACATGAACAGGGTACACAGGTACAGATGCTCCATGACACATGAACAGAGTATACAGGTAGAGATGCTCCATGGCACATGAACAGGGTATACAGGTACAGATGCTCCGTGGCACATGAACAAGGTATACAGGTACAGATGCTCCATGGCACATGAACAAGGTATACAGGTACAGATGCTCCATGGCACATGAACAAGGTATACAGGTACAGATGCGCATTGACACATGAACAGGGTATACAGGTACAGATGCGCATTGACACATGAACAGGTTATACAGGTACAGATGCGCATTGACACATGAACAGGGTATACAGGTAGAGATGCTCCATGGCACATGAACAAGGTATACAGGTAGAGATGCTCCATGGCACATGAACAGGGTATACAGGTAGAGATGCTCCATGGCACATGAACAAGGTATACAGGTAGAGATGCTCCATGGCACATGAACAGGGTATACAGGTACAGATGCGCATTGACACATGAACAAGGCATACAGGTACAGATGTTCCATGGCACATGAACAGAATATACAGGTACAGATGGTCCATGGCACATGAACAGGGCATGCAGGTACAGATGCTCCATGGCACATGAACAGGGCATACAGGTACAGATGCTCCATGGCACATGAACAGAATATACAGGTACAGATGCGCATTGACACATGAACAGGGTATACAGGTACAGATGCGCATTGACACATGAACAAGGTATACAGGTACAGATGGTCCATAGCACATGAACAGGATATACAGGTACAAATGCTCCATGGCAAATGAACAGGGTATACAGGTACAGATGCTCCATGGCACATGAACTGGGTATACAGGTAGAGATGCGCATTGACACATGAACAGGGTATACAGGTACAGATGCGCATTGACACATGAACAAGGTATACAGGTACATATGATCCATGGCACATGAACAAGGTATACAGGTACAGATGCTCCATGGCACATGAACAGAATGTACAGGTACAGATGCTCCATGGTACATGAACAGGATATACAGGTACAGATGCTCCATGGCACATGAACAGGGCATACAGGTACAGATGCTCCATGGCACATGAACAGAATATACAGGTACAGATGGTCCCTGAAACATGAACAGGGTATACAGGTACAGATGCTCCATGGCACATGAACAGAATGTACAGGTACAGATGCTCCATGGCACATGAACAGGGTATACAGGTACAGATGCTCCATGGCAAATGAACAGGGTATACAGGTACAGATGCTGCATGGGACATGAACAGGGTACACAGGTACAGATGCTCCATGGCACATGAACAGGGTATACAGGTAGAGATGCGCATTGACACATGAACAGGGTATACAGGTACAGATGCGCATTGACACATGAACAGGGTATACAGGTAGAGATGTTCCATGGCACATGAACAAGGTATACAGGTAGAGATGTTCCATGGCACATGAACAAGGTATACAGGTACAGATGCGCATTGACACATGAACAGGGTATACAGGTACAGATGCGTATTGACACATGAACAGGTTATACAGGTAGAGATGCTCCATGGCACATGAACAAGGTATACAGGTAGAGATGCTCCATGGCACATGAACAGGGTATACAGGTAGAGATGCGCATTGACACATGAACAAGGTATACAGGTACATATGATCCATGGCACATGAACAAGGTATACAGGTACAGATGCTTCATGGCACATGAACAGAATGTACAGGTACAGATGCTCCATGGCACATGAACAGGATATACAGGTACAGATGCTCCATGGCATATGGAAAGGGTATACAAGTACAGATGCTCCATGGCACATGAACAAGGTATACAGGTACAGATGCGCATTGACACATGAACAGGGTATACAGGTAGATATGCTCCATGGCACATGTACAGGGTATACAGGTACAGATGCGCTTTGGCACATGAACAGGATATACAGGTACAGATGCTCCATGGCACATGAACATGGTATACAGGTACAGATGCTCCATGGCACATGAACAGGGTATACAGGTAGAGATGCGCATTGACACATGAACAAGGTATACAGGTACAGATGCACCATGTTTAATGTTGCAACGTCCAGACATTATACCCCACTTGCAGAGCACGTTTAATGTTGCAATGTCCAGACATTATACCCCACTTGCAGACCATGTTTAATGTCGGAATGTCCAGACATTATATCCTAATTGCAGACCATGTTTAATGTTGCAGTGTCCAGACATTATACCCTACTTGCAGACCATATTTAATGTTGCAATGTCCAGACATTATACCCCACTTGCAGACCATGTTTAATGTTGCAATGTCCAGACATTATACCCCACTTGCAGACCATGTTTAATGTTGCAATGTCCAGACATTATACCCTACTTGCAGACCATGTTTAATGTTGCAATGTCCAGACATTATACCCCACTTGCAGACCATGTTTAATGTTTCAATGTCCAGACATTATACCCCACTTGCAGACCATGTTTAATCTTGCAATGTCCAGACATTTTACCCCACTTGCAGACCAGGTTGAATGTTGAAATGTCTAGATATCATAACCACTTGTAGACCAGATTTGATGTTGCAAAGTCTGGAAATTATGCCCCACTTGTAGACCAAGTTTAATGTTGCAATTGCAAGAGATTATACCTCACATGTAGATAAGGCCTATTTGTTTTAAGCGTAAGTATTGGTCGATACTTCCCTATGGATCATCATTACCTGTTGTTGTAAATGTTAATATGCTGCACAATCCAACATTTTCTCTCTCACACACACACACACACACACACACACACACACACACACACACACACACACACACACACACACACACACACACACACACACACACACACACACACACACACACACACAATTGTTATCCATACGATTGTATATTTGCTTATTTACTCACAAATTTCTAGAATGCCAATCAAACAGATATATCTCTCCTTTTTAACTTACACGCCTACTCATTTTTCTAATGATTTGAAAAAATATTTACAATTACATTACATCTCCTTCAGACACGACTCTATGTCCTTGTATTCTAACTGTTGTGGGAAGGTTTATTTTGAAAACTAAATACGATTCTGTTGGAAATATAAACATTTCAATCGAACGCTGTGTACAACCATTCGTGCATTGAGGTCTTTTGACTTAAGACTTCTATTTTATCATCTCACCCTAGTCAGTTTTAGGGTAAATTGTCATGTACGTACAAACCACAGCAATGGTTGTCCGAATAGTGGTGTTTCCTTCGTCATTTGCAGCAGTGCAGGAAAGACTTCCAGGGTCAAACTTGGAAACATTTTGTTTCGTATAATTCTGTCCGCACGTGACATTGCCATTATGATTCCACGTGAAGGACGAGACGGCGGGGTTCGCGTCATCAACAACACACACAACTGTAACATCGACGCCAGGCAGGACACTTAGAACCTCAACACTGGGTTCAAGGTGGATTTCAGGTGGATCTGTATAATAATAATAATAATAATAATAATCATCATCATCATCATCATCATCATCATCATCATCATCATCATCATCATCATAATCATCATCATAATAATAGAGTTATACGGTTACACTTTGGAAATAGCCAATGCCACGTGAGGACCAAGTATACTACAAATTCAAAATATATTGTGAGATATATGCCGGTAATACATTACCACTGTCAGTAGTGAAAGGTTTACCAGGCAACAGCTGACGATGAACGGAAGAGGTAACAGCCACTGATGTATGTACACACATCCCACAAGATAGTTCAATACTCACACACAACAACAATCTGTGATCCCACACTGGCAGTCACTTCTCCGTTGTCAGCAGTGCAGTAGAGTCTCCCTGTGTCAGACTTAGACACGTTGTTTTTTGTAAACGTCTGTCCATAGGTGATATCGTTGTTGTGATTCCACATGAACAAGAAGACGGCAGGGTTGGCGGCATCGACAACACAGACAACAGTCACGTCACCACCACGCAGCACATTGATCCGATCTTGTCTTGGCTCCAAGTGTATTTCAGGGGGATCTGTTATAAAGTTATACATTCTTGGTGCGCAGGGTTGATTTTATGAAGTATTGCAACAACAATTTTCAGCTAATCGGGGAGGAACATTTTATGTTTCGAAATTGATAATTGGGTGAATGAGTTTGATTTTAACACCGTTTTGAATAATGTTTCAATAACATCACGTCGAGGCAGCATCATGCGAGAGAAATACACAGAGTGAGGTATATCTCAGACGTTTACCGCTACAGTAACCACGGGTACAGTTACGACTGTGGAATATATTTTATGTAAGTCCAGTCTCTTTATAAACCATCACACCAGATCGACTTTATTGCAGTGAATTTATCAACTAATATTTACGTGTTGGTCAGGTTTGTTGACTTGGTGGATTGTGTGATTCCCGATAGTGTGACTTTGTAAATGATATCAATCTCTTGTATGTCTCCTCCAGACTCGATGTGTCGCTAGAAAACCACCGACTGTGGTGTTAAGCAGCATTCACTTGACTTAACTGGACCCAACTTAATTACAACCTCGTATGTAGACATGTCATGTGGATTCTTCATTGTCACCATATCCCTTCGCGTTCATGTACAGTGGAGATTTCCCATTCAAATATGTTAAAGATATGAGACTCCCAGAGTAATGTTCATTAGTTATGAGAGGATCCAGTGATTGTTGGTTCGAATTCAATATTGGCACTGGTTATTTGTCAAATCAGCATAAACACCTGCACCATATCCCGGCTCGTAGGTTTCAGAATAGGTCTTCAGCAACCCATGCTTGTCGTAGGAGTGAGTGAGTGAGTGAGTGAGTTTTTACGCCGCTTTTAGCAATATTCCAGCAATATCACGGCGGGGGACACACTAAATGGGCTTCACACATTGTACCCATGTCGGGAATCGAACCCGGGTCTTCGGCGTGACGAGCGAACGCTTAAACCACTAGGCTACCCGACCGCCCCCTTGTCGTAAGAGGCGTGGTCCGGCTCGCTAACTTGGTTGATGCATGTCATCGTATCCCATTTGCGTAGATCGATGCTCATGGTCTCAATCACTGGATTGTCTGGTCCAGATTCGATTATTTATTGACCGCCGTCATATAGCTTGAATATTGAGTGCGGCGTTAAACAAACAAACAAACCAAAAGTGGTAAAAGTCTACGACCTGTATCACTTCTGGCTTTCCTCCAACAATACGCTGACAGGCCGTTATATAACTGAAATATTGTTCGAAGCTGCGTTAAATGCACATCATTCACCCATAGGAGTTAAAGACACGTACTATTTTTATGAAATGAAAAAAATCCTTACATTTCACATTTATCGTCATGACTGCACGTACAGGTGTCATCCCCTTCTGGCCATTGTCAGCATAGCAGTACAGTTCCCCTCTGTCAGACTTGGACACGTTCAGTGCAGTAAACGTCGCTCCAGTGGTGAGCAGCCCGTTGTGGAGCCATGTGAATGTTGTCACCGACGGGTTGGCGTCGTCAACTACACACAACACGTGAACGTCTCCTCCAACAGCAACCTCAACAGTGTCTGGCTCCAAGTGGATTCTAGGAGGATCTGAGGACATATAGAACCTGTGTTCTAAGAGTGTGATCATGAGTTGAACGCCATGTTTTGAACAGTTACATCACGACATGTCAGGTTGATGTGGGAGTATGGCCAGAAGTGGTGATAGATGTAAGACGTTTACCACTTTGGCGAAACGCTCGAGCACGAGTATGGTGCTGACAAAACGAGAAACACAGCGCTACTCAGCGATAATAAGCGGTGCTATTTCCTGTTTGATTGGATTAAGGTAAGGATATGTATCATTCCACTAGGGATCGGGTGGGGGAGTCGCATTGATATTTAGTTGCATTTTTCCCAAGGGGTCAGAGGTCGTATACAATGCATCTCGACATTATTACTGACTTACATACAATGCATCTCGACATTATTACTGACTTACATACAATGCATCTCGACATTACTACAGACTTACACACAATGCATCTCGACATTACTACTGACTTACATACCATGCATCTCGACATGACTACTGACTTACACACAATGCATCTCGACATTACTACTGACTTACACACAATGCATCTCGACATTAGTACTGACTTACACACAATGCATCTTGACATTAGTACTGACTTACACACAATGCATCTTGACATTACTACTGACTTACACACAATGCATCTCGACATTACTCCTGACTTACACACAATGCATCTCGACATTACTCCCGACTTACACACAATGCATCTTGACATTACTACTAACTTACATACAACGCATCTTGACATTACTACTGACTTACATACAATGCATCTCAACATTACTACTGACTTACATACAATGCATCTCAACATTACTACTGACTTACATACAATGCATCTCGACATTACTACTGACTTACATACAACGCATCTTGACATTACTACTGACTTACATACAACGCATCTTGACATTACTACTGACTTACATACAATGCATCTCAACATTACTACTGACTTACATACAATGCATCTCGACATTACTACTGACTTACACACAATGCATCTCGACATTACTACTAACTTACATACAACGCATCTTGACATTACTACTGACTTACACACAATGCATCTCGACATTACAGTTAAAAATCAACATTTTATGAGCAAGTATAACTTACATAAGACGTTGATATAAGTGGAAGCACGCTTATTCTTAAAGCTGCAGGTTAAATTTCCAGAATCAGATTTCGAGGTGATGGTTTTCCGAAAGACTTGGCCACTATAGTATTGCGTGTTGTAAATCCATATAAAGGGTGACACAGGAGGGGTAGTTGTACTGCTGTCCACCACACATTTAACACTGATATCTTGACCACGGGGCACATTGAGGAGGTTCCCTGTTGGCTCTAGGTGAATCTGGTTACACTCTGAAAAGTAAACAGAATGTTTCAAAGCAAACTGTACTAAAACAATGTTTTCACTCTTTCACAAGTGATATCACGCTTTAGCTGGACATCAATTTGTCACTGATGTGTCAAATTTGGAAATGTCCTCCACATGCCTATCATGAACCTTGTAAAGTTTTACTGAGGTCTGAAGTGACTAAGTGAGTGAGTTTGGCTTGACGCCGCTTTTGGCAATTTTGCAGCAATATCACGGCGGGGGACATTAGAAATGAGTTTCGCTAATTGTTCCCATGTGTGGAATCGAACCCGGGTCTTCGGCGTAACTATCGATAGCTTTAATCACTAGGCTACACCACTGCCCCCTGGATTGTTTTGATCCTGAACTGTGTAACCCTGGTCAAATAACTTTTGAGCGTTGTATTTATGACGCTTTTTGAAATCTTCGTAGAGAAAGCATGCTCGATTGCACATCAAAAGTTGTGAAATGTAGACACTAAAGGCTGAAGCTGCTGGAATGTTGCTCGACATAAAAAGAAAGTTTTCTTTTGGAAAGTTCAAGTCATACCTCTTGTCATAAATCTTGTGGATATGTTTTGTCCCCCTCTTTATGCATACATCTAAATATGACACAAGATAAGGTTGTTTCGGTGGTCTCCTTTATTTCTAGGTCAGAAGGGTAAAGCTGTGGAAGGGAACTGGCTATTTGACCATTATCAACCGATAGCAAATAATCCATGTACCTGAAGCTAACGTGGGTGCAATAGTATAATAATATTTGACATGGCATAAACGTTTTCCCCATTATGCTGCCATGTTATGAATCGATTCATTCGATGTGCAGTTTAAGGCATGTATCAATATACGTTTTATGAGTATTGATTGTATTCACATGTATATTGTTTTAGCTTTAACGACAGCTCCTTGAATCTACTATTTCGTGATTTAGATATTGGTTGAAAGGGCTTCAATGGAGCCAACCTAAGCTGACCCGTCCCCCTTGTGGCGTATTTTTGCCTATCGTAATTAAAAGAAAACAACATGTCAGAGTCTAATGCCCTGTTGAATAGCCTTACAAAATGAACGTTTGACGATTCAAACTGTCACATTGTATGTGTGAAGTGTGCCTTGTGAATGCTTTGAAATCGTGAACGACTACTTACTTCACATCTTCTTTTCTTGTAAACCTGATTTTTGTGAGATTGCACATAACGCGGATATCTCACCCATGGAACACTTGATCCCGACAGCTGAGGTGGATGAGCAGCTGGTGTCATTCCAAGGATAGTGTAGACACTCGTTCAGTGACGGCTCTGTACCCAGACACTGGACTCTGTCCAGAACCATCGGCCGCGGTGAGGTGACGTTCACGGGTATCACACTCGAGTGTTTGCTGGATAGATAACATTGAAGAATCTGTCAGTGTAACTTCATCTGCACTCATATTATCTGGACACATTCCTCAAACATATCACACATGTAGGTGAGAGTGATGCAAATACCATAGCAACAATGTGGACGAGGGACTAGGATCCACGCTGTGATGCCCAGTCAAGGTATGGATGGTGTACGGAGTGCCAACTGTCAGACTGAGACACTGACACATCGGGTACCCATTAGCTGTGAACTTGATATACATTATAACATGTGAGGTATCAGACGGAAGCTTAACATGGTATCGTTGAAGTACATGAATATAACCTGCTAGGACTGCCAACTGACACGAGCCAAGTGCTTTAACAGACTCGGGAACGTCAGGGTTGTTGGATTAGAGCTACGTTCATGTAAAATATACTGAACAGCATTGAAAACGCACCACCATGAAAATGGATGTAATTTTATCCGGGCTTAAGTCATATGAAAATATATAAGTGAATGAGTAATATGGAATCATGGAAAACGTGTTTTGTTTCACGGGAAGCATGCAGAATAGGGCTATAAAAGATAGGCTTTTAAAAGCCACATCACTTTTTGCTGCAGACGTAAAGGGTACTGACACAAGAAATGCCAAGATTAACAGCAGAGGAACGTGAACATGCCTTGGGCATGCTTCAAGTTGGTACGTCAGGTAGAGTCGTTGCACAACGGTTTCAATGCCATCATTCAACAGTCCTCAGGCTACTGAGCAAATACCAGCAGACAAGAACCACCAGAGATCGACCCCGTCCGGGTCAACGTTGATCAGTGCTGACACCGTACGTCGACGTCTCCGCTCAGCAGGACTACGTGCTCGACGTCCATATGTTGGACCTACACTCACTGATCGACACCGTAATGAACGTCTGCGTTGGGCCAAAAGGCATCGTCATTGGAGATTGCGGCAGTGGCATGGTGTGCTGTTCTCAAATGAGTCCCGTTATCATTTACGGAATGCTGACGGTCGACTGCGAGTGTGGCGTCGACGTGGAGAACGTTACCACAATGACTGCGTTGTACAGTCAGATCAATGGGGGGGGGGGGGGGGGGGGGGGGGGGAGTGTCATGGTGTGGGGCGGCATCAGTAATAACCATCGAACAGAGCTCCATGTTTGTCGTGGAAGAGTTAATGCCCTTTACTACAGGAATAACATATTGGCAAATCACGTCACCCCATTCTTTCATCAGCACAAGGATATGCACACTTTCCAACAAGATAATGCAAGAGCGCACACAGCACGTGTTTCAACACGGTACCTAGCGAACAATAATGTGCCTCTGCTTCCATGGCCAGCCCTGTCACCCGATCTATCGCCAATTGAACATCTATGGGATTACCTGGGTCAACGCCTCTCACGTCGTCCGCAAGTACAGAACCTGAGACAACTTGAAGATACACTACGTCAAGAGTGGAATGCCCCAGATGACTATTCGCAGACTTATTCGATCAATGAGAAGACGTTGCATGGCCTGTGTTGCTGTCAATGGCGGACATACCTCGTATTGACTTTCCATTTTAACCCTATGTGTCTTCCTTACACTGATGACGTAATTGTAATTACTGTGTGGTATTCCTGTTTCCTTTGTCGTCTTTCTTAATAATCCGTCTGTTCTAATCAAAATCGGTCATTGCTCAAGTGTTTTTTGTAATATTTCAAGATTTATTGCTAGTGCGTTTTCAATGCTGTTCAGTATATATACCTGTAAATGTGTAGTGATCATTTTCTAAATTAATTCAACTGGATGAGTTGCGACACATATTAAATATAATCTTGGGTACAATTAACATCACAAAGTCGTCATGAGAGTAAACAGAGCATATTCGGACGGGAACATTCGAAGGCTTAGATTCGAAGTGGAATGGCTAACAAACATGTGCTAAGAATAAAGTAAGATCAGGCTGATTGACTTAGCACAAGTGGATCGTCTGAAATGTTGCTACTCATCTGCTTACGCGAGGTATCCCAGCATCCTACATACAACAGTAGCTTCCTTGACATTGAAGCCAGAGTTACAGACTCGCCCCCACTGTTGCTTGTAATACAGCTCCAGGGTCCCTTGTGCCGGCTGCTTAGTGGTGGAGACTAGTCGAGCAGCTGTGAAACCTGATTTCAACATGCAACAACATTTATCAGCAAGAATTCCAGAATATATGCCGGCCGAGATGACATGGAGACAACTGAAGTATTGATGTCTCAAAGAAGTGAGATTGACATAGAGGGTCACGATGACATGGCCGTAATAAGCGTAGCCGCGTTGGTCAGGCACATCGATCACTGGTTTGTCTGATCCAAATTGTTTACAGGCGCCGTGACATAGCTGGAATAATGATGTTTAACAACATTCACTCACTGATGTTCAGAGGGACATGGAATTATGATCGGATAATTATTCTTAACATTAGTGCTGGATTAAAACGAACAAATAATTATCTATAAATAGCAAAATGTTCTTTAAGACTAATGCGCCTGCCTTCTGCAAAAGAAAAACATTCCACGGCAACAGCTTCATCGTTTCCACAATCAGTCCTTCCCCACGCTCCATGCTTGCAGTCCTGCAGATGGGTATTCTTCATGCTACATTTGACGTCGTCTAACCACATGGTCATTGGACTCAGGGGGGCCATTTCGTTCTTCACTCTTCCACCTCTGTAGATAAAACAATAGATGTTGTCGTCTCGACATATGTATATCTTAAAGGCAGTGTACAGATGTATTCTAGTGTGAGTTAATAAGTATACAAATGGGCTTAAAGGGGATAGTCTCAATATAATTCTTAATATTGTGAAGTCAGGGTCCGCCCAAACACGTTGTTATCCAATCAAAGAACATATCGGAAATCCAAATTTAAAATGATTTAAGGAGAAATTATGTTCTGTGAACACTTGTTAACAGTATACATGTAGTTCTTATCCTGACCGTACCATATTCAACCGAATTGTGTGGGTTCTCCCAAAATGTAGCTTTGGCCAATGCTGTCATTTCACAACTTTTGATGCAAAATTGAACATGTTCTTCCGACGATGATTTCAAAAACCTCATACAACTCTTGCTCAAAAGTTGTTTGATCAGCGTTACTGTATCCAAGGCTTTCAAGGGGTTTTATGGTGGACGTTTGGAGGGATTTCCAAATTTGACGCATCAGTGACAAAAATGCTGTCTCGTGCAAGTGCCTATTTTGACTTGTCCCCACGATTTTTCAGGTGAACATTTGAGTTGGATTCGCATGTGTTTGTGACGGGTGCCACTGGTATGGCAGGATACGTACATTATTTCGCTAACACCTTGCATTATTACTGTTTGATAGTGATTCATAAACACATGCTTCTGATAGGATCGAAATCGCGCAATCCACTTTATGATTATGGAAATGGTTTTGTCGCTTTTCTTTATAAACTACCGGGCAAAAGAAAGTTTTCACTTTAAAAATAGTTGTATAAAAAGCAAAAAAGCTGGTACAGGTTTGAACCCCCGCAGAAAACATTCGCCCAAATGCAACATGACCACAACCACAACGCAGGTTTTCGAACGCAGCTTTCCAAATCATGCATTGTTGAAAACATGCAAAACGGGATTTTGAGACATTGGTCCAAATGCACGTGCGTGATTGTGGCATGAATACCGACGTTGGACAGAGCAGACATTCAGTAAGCAAAAAAACCACCAAGAATATGCCGAGACTTACACAAGCGCAACAAGACAGAGCGATCGGTATGGCCAATATGGGGGCTACTCAACGTCAGATAGCCAGAACCCTCAACTGCTCCCAGACCACCATCAGCAAGTTGATAATCCGCTACCAACAGACATGACAGACTCAAGACCGGCCAAGATCGGGAAGACTGAGAGTGACAACACCGGCCGAAGATCGCTACATCCGGCAGATTCTCCTCCGAAACAGATGTGTGACGGCGACGTCAACAGCGGCAACAGCACTAGGGCATGCACTCAGCAGACGAACAGTCCTTTGACGACTTCGTACGGCTGGTATACGAGCCTACCGACCCTTCCGTGGAATGGCCTTGACCCGTCTACACCGTCAACGCAGACTGCTATGGGCACGAACTGTACGTCGGTGGCAGCGACCTCACTGGGCGAGAGTGCTCTTTACAGATGAAAGTCGGTTCTGTCTGTTCAGGAACGATGGCAGAGTTCGAGTTTTTCGACGAAGGGGAGAGCCACTGGCGCCAAACTGCATTAGAGAAGTTCACCCGTTTGTAGGTGGAGGGGTCATGGTATTGGGTGGCATTTGTTGCCAGATTACAACACGGCTGGTTATCATCCGAGGAAACCTGAATGCTCAGCGATACAGGGATGAAGTGTTGAGACCTGTTGTGTTGCCCTTTATTCAACATCAGCCAAGAGGATTAATTTTGCAACAAGACAACGCAAGGCCTCACACCGCCCGATTTGTGCAAGACCACCTGAACAACGTTAACGTCAACGTATTGCCCTGGCCACCTTGTTCTCCAGACATTAACCCCATTGAACATCTCTGGGATCATCTTGATCGTTAGCTGAGACAACATGTACCGCCTCCAGCCAACCGACAGGAACTTGAACAGACTCTATTGAACTTATATATGGAACAGGATCCCTGTTGACGTTATCAGCCGACCGACGACGTCAATGAGGAGGCGTGTGTTTGCGTGCATGGATGCCCAGGGTGGTCACACACACTATTGATGACGTGTTACCTGACTACTGTGTCATTAATGGACTCTTCATGCACTTTTTCAATAAACTCTGATTTGTGTAATTTTTCATTTGGACCCCTTGACTCTTTCTTTGTGTATTGCGGAGAATGCAATATCGGCATTACAATGCATTTTCATTCTAATTCATGGAAAACGATTTCTGTTTATAAATTAATCATCATAAATCTCACATATGCCTTTGTTTTTGGTGTTTGGTCAAGTGAAGTCGGTAGAAACTTTCTTTTGCCCGGTAGTTAGTTCTCTTCATTGTCGTTACTAAAACTACGACTTGAATGCCCGCACCACTCGTGCACTTTAGATGAATACAACTTCGAAATCCTTGAATTGTTAACACAATGACACATATCAGATGGAGTGTTAATACTAGAAAATATATTATTTTTCATTTGCAAGTTTCTTTTATCCAAATAATATCCTTATCGGTGCATAGACGAGAGGCCGGTAACGATCCGGACGAGAATAGGTCTTCAGCAACCAATGCTTGACGAAAGAGGCGACTCACGGGATCGGATGGTCGTGCATATCATCCTATCCCAAATGCATGGGTCGATGCTCATAATGTCAATTACTGGTTTGTCTGACCGCCGTCAAATAGCTGGAATATTACTGAGTGTGGCGTTAAACAGACAAACAAACAAACACATCACAGACGAGTGTTAATCTCCTACTCACTGATAACCAAGCGCCCGGCACACAACAGAAGCCTCGACTTGACCAAATCCGTCATCACACACAGTTCCCCAGCTGCCCGAGTGATGCACCTGCAGCAAGCCGCTGCTGTAACCCGGAGTCAACTTCATGCTGATGCTACCTGTATCATTCAGGAGGAACTTTCACGAAATGTGGTTATGATTGATGACGAGAGGTTAGAGAACGAGCCGACAGAAAAATGACAATATGATCATAACCTTTAACAATATTTGTATCACACTACATTTGTTCTGAATCACCATACCGCTCAAAGTGCAAGTGCACGTCCCCGAATTCGTGGATATAACCAACGTAGTAACCATGTACGATTTTCGTACGTTAAACTTACGTTTCGTACAACACAAAAACCTGACATGCTGTGATATAACAGAAGTGCTTTTTGAAGCAGCGTTAACCAGTCTCACACACACGTGTATGTCTTCATGTTCTAGTGGTATGACTGCAAAAAACACAAACCCATCCTCCGATTTCTACCACATGACGATTAACACGTGAACAGCCGAGTTAGAAATTATCTCCAGCAACCCATGCTTGTCCTAAGATACGACTTAAGGGATCGGGTGGTCAGGCTCGCTGACTTGGTTGATGTATGTCATCTTATCCTCATTGCGGACATCGACGATCAAGATGTAAACCACTGGATTGTCTGGTCAAGACTCGATTATTTACAGATTGGCGTCGTAGAGCTGGAGTTTTACGTTAACAACAAGCAAACAGACCATGACGATTATGGTTGATTATTACACACCCATACAATCATGTATGGAAGACTTACGTTCATCACATATGATGCCAACGTCTTCATCGTGACTGCAGTCGTGAGCACCCCACGGTCTGTGTGTGCAGCTACTCAGCATCACTTCAGAACCATTGCATCTGACATCATCAAGCCAGATCTTCCCAGTTCCATAACCAAACGTTGGAATTGCTTTGGGCTTAAATCCACTATGACTGGTCAAGAGAAGTTAGGCAACAAATAGATATATATTATGTATAAAAAGGTGAGATTCACTAGTGTATAGTAGCACATATATAAAGAAAGTAACAAAACATCACACGTCACGAATTGCTCTATATGTGTCAGAGAGAGAAAGAGAGAGAGACAGAGAGAGAGAGAGACACACACACACACAGAGAGACACACAGAGAGAGAGAGAGAGAGAGAGAGACACAGAGAGACACAGAGAGAGAGAGAGACAGAGAGAGACACACACAGAGAGACACACAGAGAGAGAGAGAGACAGAGACAGAGAGAGACACAGAGAGAGAGAGAGAGAGAGAGAGAGAGAGAGAGAGAGAGAGAGAGTAATTGAACACCTCCGAGTCTCATTAGGCCAAAACTAATTAACGGACATGACGTTGTAACGTATATTTACTGATGTCATGTCACCAGTGTAAGGTGCGAACTTACTATCGTCCCAGCTGTCGGCACACAATAATAGCTTCTGCATTGTCAAAGTCATCGTCGCAAACTGTCCCCCACTGCCCGTCGTAGTATACCTCCAGCCGACCCACACCGTTGTCCAGTGGGGACACAAGCCGCACCAGCTGACCATCCCCTGCAGGTATACGGACAGTGTCATGGAAACAGTATCGACATATCACCCACCATTGTTACAAATTGTAACAAGAGTTTGCCACTAACGTGGCTATATCCCCCGCCCATGTTGCAGAATTAATGACATAATTAAATCTAAACAAACCCTAACCTTTTTTAACCGAGGTGGAACTTGTCATGGAAATTGTAAAAAAAAGAAGAGTTTGGAACCTAAGTCCATCTTGTTGCCATGGAAACGTAAAAATTTAAAATTTTTAAAATTTCTAAATAGCAATAGGCTTCAGTTCAGCATGTACCTGACAGACCTGCAAAGTTTGATGAAAAAATATTGAACGGTTGATGAGTTATGCTCCGGAAACGAACCCTACCCTCACAGAACCTAAGTCCATCTTCTTGCCATGGAAACGTAAAAAATATAAATTTCTAATACTTCTAAATAGCAAAAGGCATCAGTTCAGCATGTACCTGACAGACCTGCAAAGTTTGATGAAAACATATTGAACGGTTTATGAGTTATGCTCCGGAAACGAAACGTGACGAACGGACGGAGCCCGTTTCTATATCCCCCGCCAACTTTGTTGGGCGGGGGATATCAAGGTTCGTGGCGTGTTTCACCGAACAATAATTGACAATGCTGTTATAGGGGCGGAACCCTTCCGTAATCTGAACTGAACGTTTATTTACACTCAGGCCGCTCAGTTGTACAAACATATTTCATAATACATATACATATAAATATAAAAGAGCTACAAAACATCACTGCCGAGCCTGCATGCATGCATATACAGATTCACTTGGGTAACAAAGTATGTACAATTCTGAGAGGAGAGAGGAGAGAGTTACTAAATAGGTTTAAACAAAGACATGACGATTTTACCAAATTTGGACAATTTTCTCAATGTCCCTAAAGATGGACAAATACACAAATACTAGTAATGGAATTCATCACCTATGTCAGATAGTTTCCAAAGTGGACATTTTATTTCGGTTAAAGGTATTTTTTTTCTCCCAGTTTCAATAGGTCGATTATGGTTACAAGTTCGATACTTAAGTAACACAGGCCAAACATTTTCCTGTTGGATGTTGAAGTAATATTTAAAATTTAGACAATCATTGTTTTAGGATGCTATACATTGGGCCTTTAGAAGACTTATCTCTTGCACTTTTATCCAACACTGTAGGTTAATGTCATTTAACTTTTCAGGGACTAAATGTTTTAGAAAAGTAGGACTTTTTTAAATTTCGTGAAAAACTGATTTCATTTAAAGTTTAAAAAAAAAAATGAATAAAGATTCACTATCTGGTAGGTTTTCATCGCCAGACCGTCTTTGTTTAAGAAGTTTCTAAAATGAACGAGGATAATTTCTTTCAACATTATATAATTTGTTTTATTTTTTTAATGCATATTTGTTAAATTTAATGAATGCAGGTTTTTAAATTTTTAGTTGCCTTAACCAGTTGTTTTTTTATTTTGGAAGCATGGCTACTTTTGAATATCTCTTGGCTTCAAAGCATTTTCCAATGTTTACCAAACCATATTTTAGAGCGCTTGTGTAATGTTGATTTTCTCTTACACTTTTTAACAAATCCGAACACTTTACCAGCATTATGAAGAGGCACATCACTTATTTTGTCATTTACGTTTGTTATAACATCAATCGGGTTACAATAATCAGCACAAAGTAACTCATATTCAATGGATTGTATAATCTCTGTCAATAAAGTCGCCATATTCCGCAGCAAGCGTCCTGTCGTTCTCTGGGCTGTTTCTGTTTGTGGTACAGTAATAGGTGAGGTCTGAGAACAATGGTACAAAATCAAGGACCTCGAAATCTACTGTTGTTGGGAAATATTAGCACCCGCTACAGGATTAGTCAACCAAGCTTTCTTCGTGACATGTAATTTTGCCAACTCGGCCATTGAAAATGTATATAATAGTTTCTTTTAACATTAATCAACCAGCAAATAACCATGTGATGTTGGATTCCCCCAGTCCTGATTTGACCTTATATCAGCATATTGTAGTAACAATGCTAATATTTTAGTTTTTAACATCATTCATATAATCAACCAAATGGCTAGGGAGTATATCTTCGTTGATAGAGCTTGAGTTTGTTGTTATAAAATCGGACAAAGTACGCGTACGTGTCCTTGAATTGAAGTCACCAATGATAAAAACACTATTGTTGCCATTTCCTCGTAACATTACGAGATTTCATTATGTAGTTTTGGAAATGTTTCGTCAGAGTAATATGGTGAACCCTCTGTTGAAATACATGAAATACCAATAGAGACATCTCCATCACAAGATACGTTTAACATTTCATGGGAAGCGAGAAACCATATTGCATATTCTGAAGATTCAAATATTCTATGAAAGCACTTCACTTATTCATGTGTGATAGATACCGCCTGATGTCCTAACGAACACAACAAAACTGATATTACTGGAATATTGCTAAAAGCGGCGTAAAACATACTCACTCACTCTTCCCCACGACTACTCATCCCATTGTCCACGCCCCCATGTCACTTTCTAAAACCCATAACAAACCTAGCGCCGTGCAATGAACGAAATCACATCTTACAGCAACCCTTGGTTGTTCTATCTCTTCAATAACTTGTTGTGTTGCAGTAGATAACACATTCACAATGCCGTTTTCCCCTCTTTAAAGTCCGTCTTAATGTGAAAGTCATTATTTTAACCGATGTGTCAAACTAAACAAATAACAAACAGATATACATACCATTTACACAGGCCAGGAGAACCAAACAGAAGCATGCCCTCTGTGCCATGATGACTCCACACCTAAAACAGCAACAGCGAAGACGCTTGTCATCATTTAAGTACCATTTCCATCTATTCTGTATTATATAGTATGCCCAAGCGGAATTGACATGTCTTAAACCTAATTTGTGACAACAATAATAAATGTACGCATTATGTTTTTATTGATATATTTACTGATTGATTTCTTATTAATTTTAATTTTAGATATTCTAAAACTTTTATTGACACCACTTAATTGATCCACTTCTTCGATTTTGTATCGCACTAAATTGGAGTTTCGATTCGTGATAAAACTATCGATCACTTGATATTCCTACTGAATCAAAACATTGCTACCAAGAATGTACACTTATGTTACAAATACATGTGTACAGTTCGATATCACAGCTTACTCTGTGTCCGTGATTACAGAATAAACTGAGTGATATATTCGAATTTTCTTGTCAAATATCATGTTTATCTCATCTTGCGACCTGTTCTATTTACCATCTATTTCGCCATCTTGGAAGCTAGTCATACCATGTGTAACCTACAATAACAAGTAACCGTTCACATAAATGTGACAAAAATGGTAAGTAAGGCTTTATGCGACATCCGACTGGCAGTACTCTATAAACGATAGTCAATATTTTGGAGCTTCAGAAAAATAAAAGCGACAAAACATGTTCTATAATATGCTCTGTTTCGCAGTTGGGATCGCGTGGGGGATACATTTGATATTGAGTATTCAGCCATAGGGTATAAACACCATCCCCAAGAAATGTAAAATGACGGGGTTTAAAAAAGCACCGAGGAGCACAAGAAACCATACCTCATGTGTTTGATATTCAATATGAAATTATCTTTAGTTAGCAACATGATTATCCCCCCAAAAAACTGTACTGGCACTTTGTCAGCACTCAATAGTTCTACACGGTTAGAATTTTTAAAATGTAATGTATTAAAGGCTTTTAAAATTTTAATTTTGCACTATATATTCAGATGGGCATGACAGACATCTTATGTATGAAAATCAATAAATTATCATTTTGTTCGGGACAAATTTACAACATTTCAAACATGGTAAGGGTTAAGTGGTTGCAAATTCATTTCTTACGTATACCCCGGTCTATATTAAACCAATTTATTTTTACACAAAATTACCTAGCCACAGATTACTATTTACAAACTGTTGCACGAATGAATAAAAATAGATATAATGTAATTTAACAACAGTTCTTTCAATTTGCAATTACAGGAAAAAAACCTCGCTATGCTTTCTTTTGCCCCTCTCACTCTACGCCCATTGAAAATAAATCCCTTTGGACCCAACAAGTACTCCCTTATCTTTGAGAGGACCAGAGTACCGCTGTTACAAAAGCATACCGAGTTTTTATCCGTAAGACAAGCGTTAAATTGCATGAGAGAAAAAGTATAGACTAAGAAAGTAAGAAAGTAAAGGAGACTGCGAATGAATGAACGAATGAAATAAAGGGAGATGAGACTCGGACATGTTCAATTTTACTCCATTTATTTACTTTTTGCTCATTCATTCATTATCAAACAGAATAACAACACATACATTATCAAACATTACAACAACACATACATTATCAAACTGTACACCAGAACATACATTATCATCCTTGGTGTGCAAGGGAAAGCTTGGTATATCATACGTCAGTCGTATCACGAATCTACAGCATGTGTCAGATATGCCGGCGAGACAAGTAGAACGTTCACAATCGGAAAAGGTGTAGGAGAAGGACGTGTCTTATCTGCCTAGATGTTCCTTGTGTCTATTAACGAGCTTATAATCCGCCTATAATGCAAGCAAAAACTGTGTCCTAGTGTTTAAAGGTGTAAACAAAATCAACAAACAATGTTCTTTTAGACTAGGTAACCATATACTGGAAATGAAATCCAACACAAAAATGCAGGTTCCATTATCAATACTCATTTAGAATCCGAAAAGACCAGGGGAGCTTGCGCCAAGGCGAGACAGAATTTGAATTCCCTGAGAGATATTGGACTAAGAGCAAGTTGTCTGAACCCAGTCTGCTGTATGAACATATGCCGTAGAGTAATAATTCCATGTGACTTCTATGCGTGTGAACTGTTGTCAAATATGTCCAAGACAAAACACAATGGAATTGAAAAACTCCAGGGCTACTTTGCACGTAATATACAATTTTTTTATGCAAGATCTCCGACCGTTGCAACTATTCAGACGCTGGGGTTGTGGACTATGACAGCTGTGATTGACAAAATAAAGCTGATGCTCCTTGGGAGGATGTGTAGAAGCAACCACAGATATGCCCCGAAAAAAGTGTTCTATTTCAAGTGTGCTCAATATATAACAGGCAGTGACAAAAGTAAGTATGTAACACATGCTCTACTCAATGTGGCAAAGAATTTTGAATTATGGACCACAATATATAGTTCACTTTATGAAAACTAACCAGTTTCCATCCACGGATGTGTGGAACAAAACCATACAGACGAAAATAACAGAACTTGAAACTGCTTATTGGCACACGAGTCACCCTAAATTAAGCTTGTACCTCATAGACTGTGGAATGTGTGCATTTTGTACAATATACCAACCAGACATATGTATGCACTTGTGAAGCTGGGAACACTACCAATAACACCTGGACAGTGTTTAATGTGTGATGATGAGTGCGATGACATAATAAAGCACCAACTGCTATGTTGTACAGCTTTAGCTGATGCAAGGAACACCCTCTATGATCATCTATTTGACACTTTAAACCTCGAACAATACATGTGTATTGAGGACTGTGAAGATGACGAAGTAAAACTTGTGTCATTACTAGGTGGTTTAAACCCTATTGTAGAGGTTATGAGCCTTGACAGCTGGGCTGAATTCATATCTTCTGTATCACGAGATATAAACTCCTGGAACCTGCTATCAATGGTCTATTTCAGTATATGGTCGATAGTATATCTCATACCAGGACCAAAACATGTAAATATTTAGTATTGCCAATTTCTCTGCATAATGTTCTTGTAAATATGCTGTGTTAACATGATTCCAAATGTATATCACTCTCCGAAATTAATGGAAGAAATAGAGATAATTCATTCATTCATTCATTCATTCATTCATTCATTCATTCATTCATTCATTCATTCATTCATTCATTCATTCTTCATTCATTCATTCATTCATTCATTCATTCTTCATTCATTATCATTATTCATTATTAGCTAACAGAAGAACAACACATATATTATCAAACAGAAGAACAACACATACATCACCAAACAATGGAGCAACACATACATCAACAAACAGTACACTAACATATACATTATCGAACATTTATTGAAAACATTTGAACTGGTTACAGGTAGCTGATAATATGTCGTCTGTTCCTATATGAATCCAGAAATGTGTACGCGAAACAAATTTTTACTGCACTGGATTCCATCGTCGGTGCCTGTGCATACAACATGCAGTACAAAGACACATGTGCTGCATCTCGTTACATACTAAGTATACGGTTTCAATTCAGTGTATCTCTAAGTTTACATATACTTTCAAATATATCACATTCTATGAAAATATATATCTTAAAACGGTTGTAAACAATGCAAATAAATGTGTTTTACCTTCCACGGTCGTTACTAGTTAGAAACCCTGTGTATCACACCGGTGTGAACTTGGGACAGTTGGGACAGATATCAAGAGTAAATGTCGATTACTGGGACTATAAACTATCGATTATTAGGACTATAAAATATCGCGGATCTGAGCTTATAACTAATCTTCTCAAAGGTTAATCAATTTCAATTATTTGTATTGGATTTTATACACAGCACATGTACTAGACTGTCACGTTTATGCAGCTCAATATTGGAGCAGTTAAATGCAGATTCCCATAAGTCGGCATATGTGCAAACCGCACACCATACAATACCTTCAAAGATATAAGCGAAGTGTGCGTGTCTGTGTGTGTAAGTGTGTGTGTATCTGTGTATATGTGTGTGTCTGTGTGTATGTCTCTGCGTGTAGGCGTCAGATCTGATGAGTAATGATATCTCACAATTTCGATTGTTCCTTCACGGGTTCGAATCCAAGATTCGTCCTGTTTATGTTTCTTAGTTTGCAAGCACCAATCCGTGCTCACAATGTGCTCACTAAATTCTCTCACAACTGCCTGGTGGTTTCTGTACATTTTAGCTAATTGCTCCATTTTAAATCTGTTCAGTACCAACAAGAATCTTATCTACATGATAAAGTTGTCCAGAAAGGGACACTTTAATAAACAATTTTTCTCTCACGAAAGTGGTCAAACTTCTAAGATCCGCATTACTCCTTCGACGACATCAAACCGACACGCAGTGATATACACAACTGAAATATTATTTTAAGCAGCTTCAAACTCAACCCAATAACCCTCTATTGATCTTTCACATTGGAGCATGCGGACACTTGGTCTCAGTATAAGCGCCACTTCAGAGAAGATTGTTATCCTTTCAATTGTGTTTAGTTGTTGCAGTACTTCACGGGATGCAAGTCAATCGATGGAGACTACGTGGTCGAGGAGTTCATATTGCCTGGTGTGATGCTCGGGGTTATTGTTATCTAATAATGATTCACTCACTTGAAATCATTTGATTGTGGAACGTTAACAATCCTTAGGACAGCTTGGGGTATTATTGACGAATCCCTTGAAATAGGTGAAATTACTACTTTCTAATATACAGTCACAAAGGTAATACCCAAAGCATATCAAAAATGTATTTAGAGCTTGGGGAAACGTTCTGCGCACACTTCGGCTTGTATGCACTTGGACTCCCAGTCTTGAATAAATTTATTTTTGAAAACCAAAAGTTTGTGCTAAATAGTGTGTGCACAGGACATGGCATGACCAGCCGATTGATAGAATCGGGCCCATTCTACCGCCCGTCTGCGCAAAGTTAGGGTCGAAGTGGTGTGTTGGACTAAGGAGCACTATTGCCGGCTCCGTCGCCCTCAACCACCAGAATCCCTTCC